TTTTTTTTTTTGACGTAAAATCACAATTTGAATTCAAAATTAATGGTGTAGAGATAATATTGAAACAATAATATGTGGATAACTTATGATGGAATCTGTGGGTAACTAACTACTAATCTAAAAAGATTTTGATAAATCTTCACCAAACAATTATTTGATAAATCTGTGGATAACTAAACTATTAATTTAAAAATATTTTGAAATGGCTAAGCTTATGTATTAATATCGCAACCCAAGGAAAAAAAAATCATAATTGGGCCCATTTATTTTTTTATACTAAAATAAAGAGATATTACCAAATATAATTTTTGTTTAATTTGATGGATAATATCAAATCATTCTAAATTTTAATAATGTATGCGAATATCATTTCAAATATTTAGATAATATCATTCTAACGCTCCAATCATCTAATATCGAGATATTTTTTTCCACCTATTAACTTAATACTTAATTTGCCTATAAAAATAACATACCACTTTGAGTTGTTATTGTATCCGCACTCATCAAAAAATCAAGCGAAACATAAAGAACAAATAGATATTCTGTATTGATAAGAAATCATGAGGGTTCATCAAGCAAAACACCATGAAAACTCTACGCAATCCAACTCTTTTAAAGGATAAATGTATCTTTTTTTAACGATATTGAAAAATGATATTTTTGATATTATGAGGTATTAAATTTTATGGGTATGAAAGTCGAATTTTAGGTTGATTTGTTATAAAATCAAGGTAATATGTTTCTCAAAATTTAGCATATTTCTATAATAACTTGCCAAAAAATACTAATGATAATTTGACAAAATGGTATGTATTCCTCTTGAAAATCATAAACGTCTTTGAACAAATATTGATTAATAAAATTTAAAAGTTAACCGGCAACAACTCTAGAAAATTGTGAGATGATATGTATGTAAGGGAATTTATATATAAGGAAATATATATATAAGGAAATTTATCGTATAGTTCAAATTTGAGTTTCAAATTTAAAAGTCAAATAAATAATTATTCATAACTTACATGTCAATATTAACTTAGGCATAAATGAAATAGTCAACTAATTATAGTTTAATAAATTACTCAACAACTTAAATTAACAACTTAAATTTTTTTATTTTGATAGTTTATACAAAATTAAATTTATTTTAATTAATGAACACTATAAGTTTTATAATTGTACTTATTATTCACAGAGATTTTTAAATATATGATAAAATTTTACCAAAAAAATTATTTTATGGAATCACATTGTAGTCCGATCGAATTTTTGAATAAATATTTTAAAATGACACTTATTTTGAAATAAATATAATGTTATTTATTATCAATTACGTGCACCATACAGGTTGTATACTAATTAAATTGACATGTTTTATGGAAATTTGTACGATATAAAATATATATAACATTTTCAATAAATTAATATAGGTAAATGTATAGTGATTCATTTTTTAATTTATAAATATTATCAAATAATCATTTTTAATTTATAAATACTACTACCTCCTATTTTTTTTTAAATGTCATTTTGGTTTTATCAACAATTAACTAAATAAATGATGTTTTGGATCTTTTGTACATATTTTTCTATTATTACCCTCATCAAGCTAATAAATACACTACGTCTTTTCATAGTCACTCTTCATCTTTTCTCAAAACATCCATCTCTATTCTCATTAATGAGGGTTATTGTTGGCAAAAAAAATTCTTAATTACTGTGCAACTTCTCAAAACGACACTTATTAAAAATAAAAGAGAGTAATGAATATCTCTTACCCGTGCATCGCACGGGATTCGTATTAATTTTAATAATGTGGGGACTCCAAAGTCCAAATTCTTTATTAATCTGCCCCATTATGATTTGATTAAACCAATGAAGCAGATTTCGATATCTTAACAAAATAGCATTTATTCTGAAAAAAAAAATAGCATTTAAAAAGAAATGATTTATTTTTTATATTATTTATTTAAAGTGGGCATAAGTTACTATGTTACTAGTATTCGATCCGTGCATTTGTAAAGATATAAATAAAGTATTGTGAGTTATTTGTATGCATATAAAATTAATGATTATTCTTGTACTTTTTTGCAGACCAAATTTACAATTAAATGAGATGGAATATTTATTTTTCTAAATTGCATTTATCATATTCGATGTAATGTATATTTTGGTACGTATTTTTTTTTTTTTGTGAATTATTTATTATTTATTTAGGAATTTCAAATACGTTTTTTATTTTCCAAAAGAAGTTAACTTAAATGTAACCATAACAATAACATCTAATCACGTTAAATAGTAAACACATTATATGGTCAGCTGTAAATAAATCAAAAGTTTAAAATAATTTTTATAATTTTGAAGTGATTAGTATGTTGATTCTAATAATTAAATGAGAGGTTAAATAAATAAAAAGTAACGGATTTTGGAGAGAAAAAGTTATATTGACACATAGGTATAATTTAATAGGTTTTATTAAATTCTCATAAGCCAACAATTATACATATATATATATATATATATATATATATATATATATATATATATATAGGGGTTGGTTCAAATAAAAACTAGTCCTGGTGTGAAAACCGTATTTGATGCTATTTTTAATTGTGTATGATGCTATTTTTCATATTAGATGATGCTATCATCTTTACAAATGCTATGTTGCTATTTTTAATAAAATTCAACTTGGTTAAAAATAGCACCAAATACAATCAATCATAGCACTACGCACAATTCAAAATAGCGGTTCTCACATTAAGACTTGGTTCTCATTTGAACCACATCCTATATATATATATATATATATATATAGATGTGGAGAAGTGCCTTTATTATTATTTGAAGAAAAATGATACATTACTAACCTAGTGTACAACTAGGTTGACAACACAAATGAAAACATTCACTTGTATATTTTTTTATTTTTATTTTTTTGAATTTTTCAATTGTGTTGTCAACCTAATTGTATACTAGATTGGCAATTTAGCATTACTCTTATTTGAATTATTATTAGTTGAAACATTGCTGTAATGACAGCCTATTTAATTTTTAAGACAAAATATTAATAATTCTATACTCCTAACAAGAAACCATATTTTACGAAGAATTGTTCTTTACTTTTTATGGTTGTCTCCGTGTATTCTGCACAGCGTGCAATACTTTACATTGTTTACAAACAATTAAAGGTCATTATTTTACAATTAGTTTCAAATGTTGTAATTAATAGATAATCATTAAATTTAAAATTCACATAAGCTGCTTCTCACATGATGACATAAATTGTACCAACTAAAGAGAACCGGGCAAAATATTCTGGCCAGGAAACACGTAACAGTTATATATTTAAAAATATGTGGGCATTCTAGCCACCTCAGTAGCCGCCGGGAACTCCCTTCTATTGGGCCGGGCCTCCTCATCTTCACAAGCCCAACCCAAGTTCAGCCCGACCAAATCCCTCGGCCTCAAATAATCATTGCTAAGCTGACTACAAATAATCTTGTATAACAAGAAAATACATATTCAGAAAGACATGTAATGTAATATTACAGTCTAACTTTGTTTTACCAAAACTCAACCTCCAAATTCAACAAACACTTACAACACTACATAAAACACATAGTATACTTCAGAGATAG